GCTGTCAAATCGCGCTCTGCCGGTAGCAGTTGTGTGGCAGGTGTGGCTCTGGGATGTTGTCAAATTGCGCTCTGCCGGTAGCACTTGCGTGGCAGGTGTGGTCCTGGGTTGTTGTCAAATTGCGTTGTGCCGGTCGTAGTTGCATCTTTGGAATGGACCTTGATGTCCGCAAATCGCGCTCTGCCGGTAGCAGTTGTGTGGCAGGTGTAGCTCTGGGCTGTTATCAATTCGCGCTCTCTTGGATTACGTTCACCGCGCACGGACTGAACACTTTCCGACAAGATCGTCAATTGACCGCGCACCAAGACGGCGCCCGCTTTTATGGCACGCTGTACATGGGCATGACTCGGGATACCAACGGCGTTGAATTGGTCACTGTAGATAGACTGTGAGCACGCATCGTTGGTTTTGGTGATATGATCCCAAGAAGGTCTGAAATGTATGTCTTCGATTGACATGACCTGTTGCTATTGGATGACGTAGATGTGCTCACGCCTTCTTTCTGATTGAGGCGTCTTGCTGATTTCAGATGCGTAGATAGACCGTGAGCGCACATCGTTGGCTTTGGTGATATGATCCCAAGCATGTTTGAAATGTATGTCTTCGATTGGCATGACCTGTTACTGTTGGATGATGTAGATGTGCTCACGCCTTCTTTCTGATTCATGCGACTTGCAGATTTCAGATGCGTGTATGGAAGGCGCCACGGCCATCGCTACAGAATGAAGAGATGAAACTTTGGAAACTTTGGAATCTATGTATAATTTTGCTTCTGTCTGATTGATGCGACTTGCCGATTTCAGACACGGTTTTTTCAACAGCGTGATGGCCGTCACTAGATGACGATGGGATAAGTCTTTCACCCGCAGATAATTTTCATGGTTTGTACACCTGGTGTCTTTCGGTGCATTTGGGATCTTGTCTTCTCTAGTCGCCTCCGAGGTCGTTGCCTGCGCTCGTTCACGGGAGCTCAAAGCTACGTAGAGTCAACCGTATGAGTCAACCATATGAATCGGTATGACCAGTATGCATCTTCCTGCTCAGGACACTTGGACCAGTTCGTCTCCGACGACCGACTCTCTGACGAGATACACACAAACGGATACACACAGATACACACTGATGAACAGACACATACACACAAACACACACCTTGCAAACACCTACATGCACGCAAGCGTCATACAGCATGAATCCACCCACACACTCATACACACTCACGGACAAGCACATACAATCAAACACACACCTCACCTACACACACCGACCCTTACGCATTCTATTTGTCTCGCCTGTCTCTTCCCCATGCTCACTCTTCAGCACTGCAGCTTCAATCTTTCGAAGTTGTTCCCATGTGGGGTTATCCGGTCCTATAATTTTTGGGGTGCTGAGGCCCCGTGTGATGGGATTTCAAGGAACAAACAAATGGACAAACAAACAAGCTACGAGGAACAAGTGCATCGCTACTAGGAGCAAGGGCCTTACTAGTAGTAACAATGTTTGCTATTAGAAACAAGGGAAAACAAATGGTTCTTCTTCACGGTTTTTTTTCTCCATGTCTTTCCGGATCAACAAATCCGTTGTGATGCCTCACGGTCGGTCCACCGACTTCGGTGCTGCACGAAGTCACGAAGTCGGTGACCCAGACTCCAGCGATGCCTCCTCTTGCTGAAACTCCATGTCTTTTTCTGCGATCTACCTGAATCTGCCTGCAACCATATCCCCCCAACCTTGGTGGCAGGTGAGCTGACCGAAACTTGAAATCCCAAGACCCGATGGGCCCATGGGTGTTGGTTCCACCGTAAAGAGAAGCTCGGCTCCGAGCATTCTGAGATGTAGAGTTGATCGTAGAGTTGATCATACTATGATATGTCTGATATCTATGTCACACCATAGCATGCAGTGGCTGCATGCACAATATATAATTCATGCACTTGATGAAGGTCCACTGCTTGTGGATAGGTTTCTCGGACTGCACGAAGCCCTCGGGATGATGGGACCCGTTTGATCCGCCAAGCTTCAGCACTGCCAGGACCGTCTTCATCAGCCTGGGCGTCGAGGACTGTCCCACGTCGAGGACCGCCCAGATCGCACGGCCGGTGTTCTGCCACGCGTTCTTGGGGCCCTGAATGTGTGGAAATGGTATCGGCCACTGGTGAGTCTCTCAACAAAACATGTGATTTTAAAGATGTTTGAAGTTTCAATAAGGCTTTTATTGCTTTCAGGTACGACACCCATGCCATACCCATCAATTCACACTCCTGTGACCACCCTGCTCCAACCGCCGCTGCTTGGCCAAACCGCAAAATCCAACGATTGAACCCTCCGCTTCAGCGTCGTAAACACCTGCACCTGTCTGTGCAGGTCTGGTGAGCACTTGGTGTTTCTTCTTCTCCGCTCGTGTGAGGGCTTCATCTCCGATCCAGTCGCCGATTTCCCACCGTGTTCGCGGCTGCGCGTGCCAGGCAAAGTGGCATGCCCGCAGCTCTCCTAAGGCTCGGCCAGCAAAGCCTCTTCTCGCGATAGCTGTCGCGATAGCTGCGCTCCACCCGCCACATCCTGACGGCATGTGACGCACAACTGGGGTCTGTGATGGACAAACCAACACAAACCAACGGTGGGAGAGTCATCATGTGAAGCACTCAGTCAACACACACACACATATATATGTTTTAACTATCAGTCACTGTGACTCAACATGGCAGTCATCTCAACCCATAGTCATAGTCAGTCAGCTCGCTCCACGGGTGAATCGAAACTACGTTCGGGGCTCCTGGCCAAAACCTACGAGTCCGGAGCGATCGGACGCGAACCGAACGGAGCGAACCGAGATCGGATCTTCGGAACCACTTTCGCTTCGCTTCTTGCGGTGTGATTGGTGGGCAGTTGGGGGTGCCCACTCACTGGATTTGGGTCGAACAAGTTGTCGTTCCTGTGGGGTAGACGAGATGCTGGTCAGCACTGGCAGGGACTTTTTGTTGGGACGTTGTGGGTCAGCTTCACTGCCAATCGCTGTGGTCTTAACTTTTAACGATGACATAGTGGATGTTCGCTTATTTATGGGATGGAGTACATCCACGTATAGGCTTATATAGGGAAACCACTTAATTCTGGCTGACTGTTCACCCTTCAAAGTATCATGTCTGCTCCGCCGTGAACTTGGCCCATCAACCCACCTCCCCATCGGTCTCCTGGCTGCTTGGCTCACTGAGTGGGCCCCAAAGCTGCGTTCACTTGCCAGTTGTCTTTTTGGGGTGGTTCATTTCGGGCGTCAATTGTTGTAGGCGCCAAAATCACCAGTGCCGAAGAATACCAAACGAAATGGTGATCACACCTATTGTGCATTGGTGAGTCTTCGTGATGTGCACAGAACAAACTCTTTCAACATCGACTTCATGCGCAGAACACCCTGAAAACCAACACAATTTTGTCAATGTTTGGTACTTTTGCTCTGTTCAACTTGCCAGTCCTCTTCTGCCAGTCCGGGGTGCTGAATTAACCTTGAGGACTGCCTATGTCATGGTATGTCATCCTTCCCTCCCCGCTCTTCTATGCTTCTCATGCTTCCCGCGCTTTTTGAGCCCCCTTGCAAGGCGACCAATCGACGAAAAACGGCTGGTTTGGATCTGATGGGCCACACAGGCAATTCCCAGTCTCATCCATTTTTCCCGGATCCGCAATTTGATGTGTGATTGCTCCGTTTCGTGGTGGACCATGGCGCCATCACCCTCCACATGGGAACAGGCCATGAACTACACCAGGGTTTCTCTGTTGCGAACACCGAGACAAAGGGAACACCCAACCTCCGCAATTTGAAGATCTTCGATATGCAAAGTTCAAACACTTGAACTGAAGGAGGGCAAAAATGAAGCTATTCCTTTCCCTATCCTTTTCCTTAACACGTCAACACCTGGCTGCTTCCATGACCTCTAATCAAATCAGGCACCCATGCATTTGACCACAGGCTTCAGAGTGTTCCTAACATGTTCCTTATGATTTATCGAGTCCATCCTGCAGTCCATCCGATGTGTACACCACCGTCCTGGTATTCTTTGGGGTCATGGAATCTATGAAACTGGGCTCTGAAAGTCAAAACCGCACATCGCTTTTTGTCAGAGGATTTCCACAATCACCTCGTAGGCATAGACCTGGGCATCGCCAACGTGTCACGCAACGTCGCGCGTGCGCATCGCGTCGGCCGCCGTTGGGCGAACTCGAAGAGTTTCGGTGTTTCACCGATTTCGTCGCCCTCACATCGAAGGCTCGGTGGAAGATCAGCTTTTTCACTGTGAGGATGGATTAATGGATGACAATGGATGATGACATGTCAACCTGAAAGTCTTTCATCAAATTTGACTTGTTCCACAAAGCATGAGGCCGACGTCCTACCAATTCAGCTGTGGTTCTTCGGACTCAGGGGTCGCGTTTTAGTGCTTGGCGACCCGCATACCCAAGGGTATCCACAGACAGGGTTTTGCCCCCGCATCGCAAAGCCAGGGAGCGTTCCAAGCATCCTTTTCCTCAGAGAGCGCCACAAGCTGAGAACCAAATAAGCCAACGTCTGAGTTCGTAAATACAAATTGTTCTATCTTCAGGTCTATAACATCTAGAAAGGACAGTCCAAACCAAATAAACACACACACCAAGAAAACACTCCATAAGATATGGAACTGGCAAGCAACCTCGGTGCAGTTGCTCAAAACATGTTTGGGCTACCAAACTCGTACAGTCCGATGCCCAGAATGGTGCTGTGCAGGAGTTTCTCTGTGAAGGATGTTCAAGACTTAACAGCACAAAAATCCGTAAGGAGTGAGGAATGACGGTAGCTTAGGACTTGGAATGCACAACAATTATGAAAACCATTGAAAACCAAATACCCATTTGATCGACCTGATGCTTGAAGCCTCCACCGTCTTCCTCTTTGTCTTCAAGGATTCCTGCAAATTCCAATCTGTTCGAACAGGTTCTGGTTTGCCACAAACGGCAAACAACTGCCATTACATGCCATTACCATGACCGAGGGCTGCAACAAACCGGAGAACAAAAACAAACCACTGACTCCGCTCGCTCAGGCGATCTGGGTGTCCCCCGCTTCGTCGCCTTCTGGTGTGTCGATCGCACAACCTCGAGGCGAAGGAACGAGCACCGAAGGAACGTGGTACAGCGGGTACAGCGGAATTCCGAGATAAGCTAGTAACAGGTGCCACGCTACTAGGAACAAGTGCCTTACTAGTAGTAACAAGAAGCTACTAGGAACAAGTGCAGGGTCCCAGCGAGGGTCATCCCGGGGGGGAGGGGTAAGAGTGAATATTTGGTGGCAAACAACTGTTGTTGCGAAGAACGCTATGTATGCTACTTAAGTTGAACATGTTTGAAGGTGAACAAATTGGCCCACTTTCAGGCTTTCTCTGGATTCCATTGTTCCGTGATGTTCCATCAGTGGTCTTGCGACAGGAGAAACATCATCACCCCCTATAAACCGTAAAGGCAAGTCCGCGTGGCCGAGTTGTGCTGTGGACGTCGAGTAAATTAACACGACACTGGATGGACACAACGGATTTTGAGGATGCCGAACTGTGTCTGATCATTTTTAATTAGCGAACACATGCAAATCCATTAGCAGCACGACACTTAATGGAACACACTTATAATAATATTATACCGATCAATCCTAAGGCCCCAAACTGTGTCGCTCTTCAGTCTTTGAGTCCAGAGCAACCTGCCTGGAAGGTCTGCTCTCTGTCACTTCGATCGAAGCTAAGCTCCCCAACATCGGCAACCCCAGTTGGGGTAGTTGAAGGAAAACATGATCATCTTCCCGCACCTCAGCCACATCTAGCCTTGCTCACCGAGGAAAACCATGACTATTGGCATCCAACGAAGGCGGCGCCTTCTGGGGGCCAGAAGGGATGAGGGGAGACCCATGACGGACCACCAAAAAGGCGCACGTGGCTCGCTCTTTTCGATCTTTTAGAAGGACTGCTCGGTCGGCTGGGGCAGTCCCATCCGTCATGGTGGGTCATGGCGATGTGCGCCTCTCGCTGTGGCGCCTGACTGGCACTTGGGAACGTAGGCCAACATGGCGCTTGGCAACGCTTGCTCGACCAACAGCAACACCATCACCAAAGAAAGTATTTCTTGGGAACTACTGGTCTGGTGCTCAGTTTGACTGAAAACCCGCTTCTGATGAGGGAAAGGCATGATACTCCAGTGCATGTTCGTTCCACCATTAAATTGCAAGACTTCTGCGACGTCTCGTAACAACTAATTAGTGTCACCATCTGAATAGTGTGCAAATTGAAGACACTTCCAAAAAGAAACATGGCTGTGTGGGTCAAAACCGGGAAACCCTGATTGACCACCAAATAAGCAGAATAGACTACCTGGGAGGTCAACCTAGGTTGTTTACGGCTCCGGGTGCCATGACCCACAGCCACGCGGATCCGGCGCGGCACTTCGCAAGCGGTTTGTCTCCGAGTTTCTCTGGGTCTCCGAGCTCTGAATCGTTCACAGCCGTTTGGGCACACTCCTGGAGGGTCCACTGGGACGAAGGCCATCGGGTCCGGACGCTGTTCGACCAGCGATGCGAAAGGCACGAACAAGTCTGCGTTCGAACACCGTCTGCAGTGACCCTTAAGTGCAGCAGTCGACGGTGTTTCAGGTGAGCAGCTTCGAAAACCCCTATTACTTTTTTGTATAATCCAGGTTTGCTTTCGCAAAGCTTTCGCTGAGCTTTCGCGGCCTGCATTCTGGCTTTCGCGGAAGGTGTGGTGTTATGTGGGGCTTTCGCGGCGGCTTTCGCGGCGATTCTTTTTCGATTGGGAAATTCGATTGGGATATTGTACAATAAAGTGATTGATCTATATAAGTTATCCGATATGTCAAAACTGAACAAATTTCTTTCCGGCAACATCCAGGCACAAGGAGTTGTAGCAGCACCGTTCAAGTATTATTGTTGTCATCAGAAGAGGAGGAAAACTTGCTGAAACTTTTTGCTGGGGCCAGATACCTTTCCCGGATATTTTCGACTTTCGCGGTTCTTTCGCGAGGCTTTCGCGCGGCTTTCGCGGAAATTCGTCTGGGCTTTTCGATTTTCCCCTGAAACACTTGCTCTTCAGTGCTGCTGCTGCTGCTGCTGCTGCTGCTGGCTGGTCTGCTGCGGCTGGCTGGCTGGCTGGCTGGCTGGCCTGCTGCGGCTGCCTGCATAAAAATATGGTCACCCACATAAACAACACGACATGCACAAGAAATTCGACTTTCGCGAAAGCTTTCGCGACGCTGTTCTTCTGGGGTTCTTTCGCGGGGCTTTCGCGAACCTTTCGCGACCTGCGTTTTGGCTTTCGCGAAAGAATGTGAGATTACAGTTTGCACACTTTTCATCATAGAGGTTTTTGAAGCTGCTCAGGTGTTTTTCATGTTTTTTCTTTATGTATAAAGGACAGAGTTACAACAGAATATTAATGGCGATAATCAAGGTCACCTATCAGGGCATCAGTTTCATCTATCACCATGTTTCTGCCCATTGAGGTTTCTGTGAATATCAAGCCGATCAGCCACAATCTCCAGTTCCTTCGTTTCTTTGCAAACCATTTTCACCCTACTTGTGGCCTTACAGCCTCTTTTGTTCGCCACGTCCATGTACAGTATGACTGGTCATTGACATCATTATCTGAGGACGCCAAGATCAGCAGCTTCAAACAGCTGCCACACTTCGAATTGCAGCCTTGTGTTTTCACTTGAATCAACATGATTCATGATTCCAGGCCTTCATGATTCGGGGAACATTTCTTGGAAAATGCCTTGAAGGAAGGAAACCACTTGGACTCTTTTGCTCTTCGCCAAGCCACTTCCATCCGAGGCTTTCCCCTGAAAACCCACTTCCGTCCGGACAACAAACAACGGATAGCCGTCTCCTCCGGCGAGGAGAAGGGCCCCAGATCGGCGGCGATCGTCTCGCACTCGCGCTTGGCGCGCTTCAACTTGATGCCTGCGTAGGTCACCTGGGTGAGGACCCTCTGTGGGAGGGGCCCCTGTGTGGGTCGATGGTCGGTCATCGAAGGAGGGGCCCACAGGTCCTGTTCTTTCGCGTAAGGGGAGTTGGTGGGTCCTTCGCTTCCAAAGAGCAAGGTGAAGATCCAGGTTGGTCCCAGTGGGGCGATTGGAACGCATTCCTTGGGCCCCAGAAACCGGCCGCTGAAACGATGGCGATGACTCATGATTGCTCACAGGGTGTCTCAGACAATGTGTAGTGATCCTACCGGTCTCCAGGGTCTCTCAAGGACATCATTTTGACTGGAGTTGGGGTCATACAAACACTATAGTCTATGAGGTTTCCAATGGTTTTCAGGATCAGGTTTACTGGGTCACACTGGACCTGATCCTGAAACTGATCTCTCCACGAAGTGGACAAATCCCCGTCAAGACTCGACTCGCGAGACGTCTTCCCAAGTGGTGCTTATGGGGATTGGCCATAGACTATCTTGAGGACTTGAGCCAAGAGTTCTGAGGGCGGTATACATGTCTCAGATTTCAATTATGAACCCTCTTAAATCAAATGTTTCATGGAACGAGGCATTGGAATTCACCTTTCCTGAAAACGCATTGACCACCTTTCCTGAAAAAGAAAACTTTTATACAATAAGATCTCGATTCTTGGCCTTAAAGCATCTCGTAATCGACCATATGAATGAACATCTGGCAATCAGTGATTCAGAGATGACTCTGAACGTCCAACACCACCAAGGCCCAAGTCCCGCCTTCGCCTTGTGTCGGTAGTCCGAGCACATCTCGCACTTGCCTCGTGAGGTGTTGAGTGCGTGGAGGTACCCTTGGCCAAAGCTGCCATCGATTCCACTCATCAAAAATGCTTTGGTGCGTTTGGTGGTCAATAAACAAACATGCATGATGTTCAATGCATGTCCAGATCTCCAAAATCTCCGAATGTCAGGGATATCATTTTCCCAGGCATTGACGACTGCCCATACTGGCCTATTGAATTTTCCCTTGTCCTTCTTAACCCCCACACACAGATTGGAAGTTGCAGCAACACTATGGAGTAGTCAATGTCCATCCAAAAAACTCCACACATATGTGGAGATTCAAGTTGTGTGATGTTAAGAATGAGTCAGTATAATGCCCAAACCAAGGAATTGATTTGGATAGTGGCCAGTGGCTATAATATCCACTGTTTTCATCCTGGTTGCCATGAAACTCTCCAGATTCCCAGTGATGATGTTGAGACCTCCAGCTGCAGGGCATTTGAGATGTTCAAGCGTTCATGCGCCAAGAGTCCTTTGCGTCCGACTTCCACTTTGACACCGCGATTGGTTGGCATCGATTTGGGTCATGTGCGGTCATTTACAACGCCGGTGGAGATGGATCCCCGAAAACATCTGCTGCCCTTTTGGCAACCATGGACCCATGAACCCGAGTCATGAGGGTCCAAAGCCAGACCACCAACGGGGATAAGGTCCGAAAGCGAAGCCCTTTTTTTGGTATGTCCTTGAACTGGTGGCAGTTGGAATGCCATGAGAACCATTGACCGTTCACTCAGGTGGCTCAAGGACCGTCAGGTGCTTTCCGTCGGCGCCTCGCGAACGACGTCTCCAGGGCTCCGGCAGTGATCCGCTGAGCGGCCACACCAGCCCAAGGCCTAGCTCCGGCCCGGCCCACGGACCGAGCGCTTCAGAAGGAGCTCGGATCCATCGAGAAGATGGAGTAGAGGTTTGTAGTAGAGGTAGATGGCTTTTGCGTGGGGAAGCAACAACGACATCTGATGGTCTGATGGTGTTTCCGCTTGCAGAAGGAGCCAGGCCGAAGCGGCTTTTGGTACAGCTTCAATCTCCATGTTTGCATCTGATTGGAGGCCCTGAAGGTCTTTCGACTTTGAACAGAAACGGTGAAAACCCGTGAAAGGCCGGCTTTGGGTTGAAAACTACCTGGGACAACACCGGCAAACTATGGGTGTTCAGCAAAACTCCCTTTCAAATGGTCTGTGCGTGTGAAGTTTCGCATGGATCTCTTGTCCTTCTAGGTTTAGAAGACTTTCCAATTTCAGTGGGGATGTCTGTTCAACCTCCAGATCCAATCATGACGCTGAGAGTTTCTCACAATACGCAACAAATCTGATCAGTCATGTCAGTCCTTCTTCTGTGTCTATCAGATTCTTCCAATCTGATCAGTCATGCGAAACGCTCCTGCAGGGCTCCAGGATTTTGTGTCTCAACCTTCCAAACTAATGGTCTAAACAGCGACCCCCACGTTTGGCTTCGATCTATCAACTTGTGAACCTCTCAGTCTAGCAAGTCGGACGACGGGTGGCTGCGGGTCACACGGAGGTGAATTTCACCTCAACGAACATACCATTCCTTTGAAACGAGTCCCTCTCTCTCTCTCTCTCTATCTTCTTTCGAACAAACACGAGGTGTCCAACTGGTGCGATGGAAGAAATGAACAAAATTGCGCTCCATTTCTCCATCGAAAAACCACGAAGCACGACTTCCGCAAAGCCCTACAATCCCTCGACAGCGAATCCGAAACGAAGGTTTCATGATGTCACCGCGCCCTCCTCGTCTTTTTCTTCCGGGGATCCCGGGCGCTGCAGCAGGGTGCATCGAAGCCAGGAGGGCACTCCACCATCTGAAATGGTGAGAAGCAAATGACTCAGTGGTGTCCTTTTGGGAAGAATAGATCTACCTATTGTGCACTTGAGGGTATCCTCTCTATCAATCAACCAACTAATTAGTAGAAGGCCCTCTATGGGACGACTGGGGCAGGTCATGTAGACCTTGGTTGTTCATCAACGCACCCTCCAGGACATGGAGAGTACGCCCTCGGCCTGGGGGGTTGAACTATCATCAACATTCTACATTAGACGGTGTTAGCCCCAAAGTCAGGTCATAGCACTGTGAGCCTCTTCCAAATGAGAACATCCTTTGCCAAACAAATTTGTAGAAGCTGTAGTGTGGACCATTGTAGATCCAATGTTGTTTTTGAATAGTTTTGTGGCTCAGAGAAAGCTCCAGACCACCAGCTTGGCGGCGCATTTTTCGATGAACACGGCTCACTTTTGCGCCGCGGGACGCTTCCCGTGCGGTCGCATGGCGAACCCCGGCGGTCTTTCCATGGCCCGGTTACTACAGTAGGATTCACCGGACATCAGCCACATAGACAAAATCTACGGGCCACATGCATAGCCGCATAGCCAGTGCTTGGAGGGGCGGCACGGTAGATCGGACGATCGGTGCTCGCCTTAATTTAAAACTTGCCTACCTGGCTCTGGGGAAGAAATCGAACACTTCTCAAATGACTGTTTTAGCGAAGTTCACTTTGCAGTTGTTCGCGTCACCCGAGTCCAGTGCGTCATACCTTGCTTCTGAACTTGGCAAGACATCTCCGAGCAAATTGTTTTGCACAACACAATATTTGATAATATTTGCTTTCCGGGTCTTTGGAGTGAACCTCATGGGTGACAGAAAAACAAAAAAAAAGGTGCCAACTCCACATCATCGACCAAATACTCTGGGTGGAGGCCATCGCTAGTAGGTTGGAGGCCATCGCTAGTAGGTTGGAGGCCATCGCTAGTAGGTTGGAGGCCATCGCTAGTAGGTTGGAGGCCATCGCTAGTAGGTTGGAGGCCATCCCTGGTAGGTTGGAGGCCATCGCTAGTAGGTTGGAGG